TGAACAATGGGTGGAGGGATAGGTAGTGAAGAGGGCACTGCCCTGCACTACGCTGACCCTGGGTCGACACCACAGAGGCCTCCCTGAGCTTGGCCAGGTGTGACCTGAGCAGAGAAAGGAGTACGTCCAGAACACAGCCACGTGCAGCCACTCTCTCCCACAAATAAGGGAAAACTACTTGAAATGGTGAAGAACTAGAAAAGATGCTTCAGTCCGTGAAAAGCTCCCGTGGTCAGCCCGTACAAGGCGTCACAGAAACCGGCTGTCAGTCTCTGAACCTGCTGCACCACTCACTGACAGTGAGTGACTCTGGGCAAATTATTCGTGCTTTGAGCCTCAGTATTCCTTCAACAGAGATATTCATCTAAGGTCCTCTTAATTATTATGATGTATTAAGGAGACAATAAAGGAAAGCAGGTCGGAGGCCTAGGGCAGTGGCAGGGCGCTTGCCTTGCATACAGCCAACCCTGGTTCAATTCCCAGACCACATATGGCCCCCAAGCACCCCCAGGAGTGACCCTGAGCACAGAGCCATACTCAGATGTGGCCCCAGCATAAGCAAACAAAATACATATACAAAGCACCTGGAACAGTTGCCTATGTTTAAAATAGGAAATGATGAGTGTGTTTATTTTTACTATTTTTATTTATTTGTTTACACTTGATGAAACTGCCTCTTCAAAAACAACTAGAATAGCAGCTTTTTTGAAAAAGCATCAGTTGACTTAATTGTAACTATGATCATTCCATCTCTGAAAAGTCATTTGTATCACAAATATCCTCCCAATAAATTATGATATGGTTCTTACTATTTATTTTCCCAAAAAAATTCTACTGCAACATATAATACAAGCAATATATTGGTGTCAAGACGACCCGACCTCGTTTTTATTTATTCGGATTTGTTCTTTCCGTTTGGTTTTTCTTCTAGGAGCCACACTTGGGGATGCCAGAAGCTCGCCAGTGCCACAAATGAGCCCAGGGTGGAGACAAGCATGTATTCTGGCCCTGTGCTCTCTCTCCTTGGCCCAGTTTGTAAATTTAAGAATTCAACTATGCTGGGCTGGAGCAACAGTACAGCAGCTAGGGCGCCTGCCTTGCATGTGGCCAACCACAGTTCAATCCCCGGCACTCCAGGTGGTTCCCCAAGCCCACCAGGAGTGATTCCCTGATCGCAGAGCTAGGTGCAGACCTGAGCACCATCAGGTGTGTCCCCAAAACAAACAAGCAAAAAGAATTAGATTATGCTGACTAGAGAGAGTATAGGGGGTGGCGTTTGTCTTGCATATGGCTCCCATCCCAGTTCAAATACCTGCACCATATGTGCAGTGACCACACACCCCGGCCGCCGGAAGCACCAGCTGGCATCACTCCTTAACAAGCAAGTCAGGAATGGCGCCCCATGAGCACCAAAAACTCCCCAAAGCCCCAAAATTAGATTATGACTACTCAAGAGAACTAAACTCTAAACTTCACCAAATAAAATTCTAGGGCATAATTTTCCACTTTATTATATGAAGACACGAACTGGACAATCTGGATCAGCGTCATAAAAAGAGCAGCAGAAGATGCATGCTAAGCAATAAATTGCTTGTCCTTAAACCTAGACATTTACAGATATGAATTTTCCCTTTTGACTTAAATATTTTGAGAAAGGTGCTCTTTAGAAAAAATACGATAAAATTAGCAAGTGATAGGCAAGGTTAAAGAGAAGGACAGGAAAGAAACTCTGGGAAATGTGTAGTGACTCCTCAGTCACGAGTAAAAACAGCCCCTAGGTCATAAAATTATTCAAAACCAAACTGTTTTGGAATCATGTTGCCTGAAGATGCCTGAATTAGTCCATGTACTTCACAATTATCAAATCTGAATATACCCTATGATACTGAACTCAGGGTTTGTGGGGGTAGCTCAATGGTAGAGAACATGCCTTGTGCTTGTACCTCCTGCTCTTCCGCCCAGCATCCCTGGTGTGGTCCTCAAGACTCCACAGCACCACAGGGCCAGGCTCGAATACTCCTGGATATGGCCTCCACAGAAGTGTTTGATAAAGGTAATGTGTGCATGGGGGGGGGGGGGGGGGGCGGGGGAGGGTGTTTGCCTTGTCTGCAGGCACCTGGGTTCAATCCCCAGCATCCCAAATGAGCCCTGCCGGGGTAATCCCTGAGTGCAGAAGTAGGAGTAAACCCTGAGCTTTGCTGGGTCTGGCCACGAAGCAAAATAACAATGAAAAAGGGCCAGAGAATAGTACAGTGGGTAGGGCACTTGCCTTGCATATGACTGATGTTCTATTACGAGCACCCCACAAACACCCTGTATGGTTCTCCAAGTCCTGCCAGGAATAATCCCTAAGCACAGAGCCAGGAATAAGCCCCGGGCACTGCTGGGTGTACCCCCTCCCCCCCCCAAAAAAAAAGATAATGTAGATATTTGAAAAAACAAAGACTTCCAAATCCATCATGAAATGGCTCTTGAGGTCAAATCCCCTTAAGGAATTTCCTCATGGTATAAATTTTTATAAAATACTTAATGAGAAACAGAGGTGCTTAATGTGGGAATGGCAGACACAGGGGCTGAGACTGGAGTCACTGGCCTTATTTTGTAAAACAAATGTTAATAAGAAGAAAACTCACAAGTTTACTTCTTATGCCCAGAAATGCGGATTGGATACCCACACACAAATACCACCAAAGGATAAATATTTCATAAGACTAATAAAATGAAAACACAGTTAAGAAATAAATGCTAGGGTTTTGGCCAGGGAGCCAGACTAAAGGCTGGAAAGGCTAAATCAAATGCTTTGCATGTAGGAACCTGGGGTTTGATCCCTGGCAACACAGGCCCCTCCCCCCCACCCGAAGGTGCCACCAGCTGTAGCCTTTTTTTTTTTTGACACCATTCTAGATGTGGTCAAAAAAAAAAAAAAAGGAAAAGGTTTAGATAAGGGTTTGGATTATTCTGTGCAAAAGCAAATCATCTGATTATTATTACCCATTGGGAAAGCTGGGTCTTTATTAGCTAAACCAGAATATCTCATACCCTGCGGAGCTTTGAAGAATCCAGGGTGGGCAAGTGGGAGCACGATATGTTTTTCCCTTGAAGAAAGATTCCCCAGGTTAGAGACAGGATAGAGGTTAGGCACTCACTTTGCACACAGCCAACCTGGTTAGATCCCCAGCATTGTATGTGGTCCCCTGCGCCCCACCACAGTGACATCTGAGCACAGAAGAGCCAGGAATAGCCCCTGAGGAATGCTGAGTGTGGCCCCCAAAAAACAAAATAAAATAAAACAGTATATTAAAAAGTGCTCCCCATCCCCCAAGAAAAAAAAGGAGAAAACTCTATTCAATCTGTTCAAATGCAAAGCCCTTGTACTTTGAATACAGTCTGATTACCAGGCGGGAGGGGAAGGAAGAAGCGGAGAAGTGACACCAGGACAGGATGGCAGAGGAGCTTGGCCAGTGGAGGGACGGAAATTTCGGACACCACAAGCAGAACGTAATAAACCTCTCGCAACCATGCTGCCTCAACTACACTTTCAGGAGGTTGGCGGGGGTAGCAGATTTTTTTGGGAGGACACCGAGAAATACTTTTTTTTTTTTCTCCTAGTAAAGGGGACAATCAGCCAAGCCAGTTTGGGAAGCACAGAGGCAAAGTACTGAGGGAGTCAACAGCTGGAAACCAAAGAACAAGCCACAGAAGCATTCCTGCTCCTAACACTGTGACTCCATCCTGCTCAGCGTGTGAGTGACACACGACCACCCTTCCTATCGATAACAACTGCAGGCGACAGGGGATGCACTGTCATCAATGCAACTGTTATACCCAAAGGACAAACAATAAACCCCCGAACCAGAGGCCAGAAACAATCTGCTACCGCTCTACTTTGGTTTTTTAGTTTGGGAGGTAATTTCAGCTGTACCAAAACAAATCAAAGGAAAACCAGGTCAACCAAAGACTTGAAACCAGCAGTAACTGAAGGAAATATCTGCCACATATTTGTAAACCTACAAGAATAATATAAGGACCAGAGAAACCAAGAGTACAAGAGAAGATTTAACATAACAAAATAAACATTCACTTTCACTAAGAACTGAATATGAATGACTTTAAATTGAAACAGGCAGAATTTAGGTCACATGTTAAAATAATTCCAAGAATGTATAAACTCTTGGTACTAAAATAGTCTATTCTTCTCAGAAAATAAGCAGAAAAATATGTCAATTCTACCTCAATAAACCAACAGATAAGAGTTTTAAATAATTTAAACAATCTAAAATAATTTAAAAATTTTAAAAAGAAAAACACAATTTTGAAACATATATATTATATATATAAAAAAAATACTGCCTAAGGAAAGAGTCAAATCATCTATCCCAGTAGCTGCATATACTCAGTCATTAGCAATTAAGGAGTTTAAAAAAACAGATCATACAATTATCAGGTAAATTCTTGGTCTACCAATGAGGAAGCCCTTAATATACTGCAAAAATATATTTTAAAATATACTGCAAGAATAAATTTGTACTGCAAACAATATGCCAACTTTAAAACATAAAACCTAAGGTGCCAGAGAAATCACTGAGGGTAGGTGACTTGCCTGGCACACAGCCAACTCGGGTTCAATCCCAGCACCCCACATGGTCCCCTGAGCCCCACCAGGAGTGATCCCTGAGCGCAGAGACAGGCAGGAGTAAGCCCTGAGCACCACCAGGTGTGGCCCAGAAACAAAGTAACAGTAATAACAAAAACAAATTAAATAAATAAAAGCTAGCCCATGGCCAACATCTGACTTCATTAAACTTGACTCAGAACAGTTGTCCATCGACCCCGAGCACCTCCAGGTGCATTCCTGAGTGCGTAGCCGGGGCATTGCCTGGTATGGCCCAAAACCAAAAGCCAAACGGGAAAAAAAGGAAGAAGAAAAGAAGAGCATTTGTCCATACAACATGTAACAGACTGCTCCAGCCAGGAGGTAGGGGCACTCTTCCTTCTCTTACCTGGTCTTTCTCATGGGGGAGAAGGCTGACCGGCGGCAGTGAGGACGGGAAAGCACTGGGGTACTTGGGAGCCCCTTTGCCATCCGCGCCTCCGTAGTTGACCCTGTACTGGGGGCCGTCTTTCAGCAACCTCCCGTTGTTCACTGCGCGTTTGGCCCCCAGCCGCAGGCGCTGCTGGAAGGCCGGGTTGTTGGTGGTGCTCGTGAGATCGCTTTGATTGCGGAGATACTTCTCGATGTTCTTCAGGGAGGACCCACTCGGCTCCTCGAGTCCTTCAATTGCTCTCCTTAGAAGTTTATTCCAATCCACATTGCGGAGATCACTGCACGATGCTCTAGACCCCTTGGTTGACTTGGGAAAAGTGCCAGGTTTGACGGATGAGAAGCGCCCAGGGTTGTCTGGGTCCTTGTAGGAGGCAAGGCCTTTGTTGGTGACTTTGAGGACGGAGCCGTCCTGAACACTGAGCTCCAGCTGCTCAGAGACCGTCTTCTTATCCAGCCCATGGGAAGTGCTGACCGCATGGCAGATTCTCTCTTCTGAGGGCCTTTGCTTTTGCTTTTTTATTTTTTGTATAGCTTCAAGAATCCACTCTGTATAAAGTGGGTTTGCAAGTTTTACCATGGTTGATAAATGACTTCTTCAATACAGAAGTTACCCATAGAGATTCTCCTTGTATTTAACAGAACTTGCACATTTAAAAGTCATTTACAATTCAACAAATGGGCAGAGTATTCCAAACCACATTAAGCAACATCTGACAAACAGCCATCCTTAGGAGATTAAAAAGAGGACGAACTGGCGATGTCGAGAGTTGTCTTATTTGACCAATAGGAAGGGCTGCATTCAGGTGAAGAACATCTTTAATAAGGAAACCAAGACCTTCAAGGACAAAAAAGAAAAGGCTCTTAACAATGGGATTTTTAAAAATAAAACTTTTTAGTATTCCTTTTTTAAATGAAAAATGAGCACATAAGAAATGACTGGCAGATATAACAAAGTCATCAGAACTTGGTTCTCCGATGGAAATTTGGGTCCTATTTTTTTCACAAAATGTTTCACCTGAATTCAAATTAGTCACTATTAGCCACTTAAGAGATAGCTAAGTTATATATGAACTAGTAACCTGTACTGAAATTAATGAAAAGTGCTTCAAAATATACATTGAGGGGCCAAAGAGACAGTACAGGAATTAGGTCCTAGCCTTGCGTGTGGTCAACCCTGCCTCAATTCCCAGTACCCTGCACACCTGGCAGAAGTGACCCCCGAGCACAGATTCAGCAGAGTCAGGAGTGACCATTCATCACTGCTAAGAGTGGCGATAAAACACATACAAATATGTGTGTATAATATGTATATATAACATATATCAGTATAAAATAAGTACCACTGTATATAAAATTTTATATTTAAAAAAATCTGTACTAAATTTTAAAAAACAGTACTAAGTCAGTGGGCTGGAGCGATAGCACAGCGGTAGGGCGTTTGCCTTGCACACAGCCAACATGGCCGACCCGAGTTCGATTCCTCCGCCCCTCTCGGAGAGCCCGGCAAGCTACCGAGAGTATTCGATATGCCAAACACAGTAACAACAAAGTCTCCAATGGAGACGTTACTGGGCCCGCTCGAGCAAATCGATGATCAACGGGAGGGCCTTTACTTACTTACTACTTTACTAAGTCAGCAATGCTGAGTGTGGCCCAAAAACTCAAAATAAAACAGTATATTAAAAAGAAAAAAGTGCCCCCCAACTCCACAAAAAAAGGGGGAGGGGACTATCTAATCTATGCATCAACCTTTTAAAAAGAAATTTAGGGGTTGGAGAGATAGGAAAGCAGGTAAGGTCTCTGTTTTGTGAGTGGCCAACCCCTAGACCCCTGAGCACTGCCTGAGTGCAGAGCCAGGAGAGAGCCCTTAGCCCTGCTGAGTGTTCCCCCATCCCCCACCACCCAGAAGAAAGAAATAAAAAGAATATTGATTCTAATTTAGCTGGGTATTAAATCATCGTGAGATAGTTACAAGCTTTCATGTTTGGGTTACAACCACACAATGATCAAACACCCATCCCTCCACCAGTGCACATTCCCCACTACCAATATCCCAGGTATACCCCCCCTTTCCCACCCTCCCCCTGCCTCCATGGCAGACAATATTCCCCATACTCTTTCTCTCCACTTTTGGGCATTCTGGTTTGCAATACAGACCCTGAGAGGTCATCATGTTTGGTCCTTTACCCACTTTCTGCACCCATCTCCCATCCCGACCGATTCCTCCAGCCATCATCTTCTTAGTGATCCCTTCTCTATTCCAGCTGCCTTCTCCCCTCCGTTCATGAGGCAGGCTTCCAGCTATGGAGCAATCTTCCTGGCCCGTGCATCTACTGTCCTTGGGTGTGAGCCTCAAGTTATGTTAGTTTATATTCCACAGATGAGTGCAGTCCTTCTATATCTGTCCCTCTTTTTCTGACTCATTTCACTTAGTATGATACTCTCCATGTCTATCCATTTAAACACAAATTTCATGACTTCATCTCTACTGACTAGCTAGGTATTTTCTTTACCAATCTCACACGTAAGAGTATTTCCCAGAGGGGCTGGAGTGATAGCACAGCAAGTAGGGCGTTTGCCTTGCATGCTGCCAACCCCAGTTCAATTCCCAGCATCTCATATGGTCCCCTGAGCACCGCCAGGAGGAATTCCTGAGTGCAGAGCCAGGAGGAACCCCTGAGTATCACCGGATATGACCCAAAAAGCGGGGGTTAGGGGGGGAAGAACATTTCCCAGAGTACAGCGGGAAGGTCGCTTGTATGCTGCCAACCTGAGTTCAATTCTGGGTCCCCTTATGCGCCACCCACTCCACCCTGCCCAGCACCACCAGGTGTATTTCCTGAGTGCAGAGCCAGAGTAAGTCCTGAGCATCATCTGGTACAGCCCCAAAACAAACAAACCAAAAAGAATTCTTTCCCAGCCTGGGGCCAGAGAAGTAGCTCAATGGGCTGAGCACCACAGAGTTACCCAGGTCTGGTCTCCGTCACCAAGAGCAACCCCAAAACACCACTAGGCATGACTCTAAAACAAAAACACAACAGGGGGTAGGAGACATAGGACAAGGGGTCAAGGCACTTGCCTTGCAGTGGCCTAACCCAGACTGATTCCTGGCATCACATATGGTCCCCAGAGCACTGACAGGAAATGTGGTCCCTGCGCAGAGTCAGGAGTAGCCCCTGAGTACCGCAGGTGGGGTACAAAACCTCCAACCTTACCCAAAAGGGAAATTTCCCAACTATCCACTACTTACCTCCGGCCATCACTTTGCAAAGCATCTGAACACACTAATCCACGGTCAGAAAACTGAAACCAACAGAGGACACAAACTTGCACCTTTTAAATGGTGCAGCATTCTAGGGTCTTTAGGATTCTGCTGAGGATTCTACTCAAGAAAGGTTCTTACAGCTCTGATTCCAGGCAGATTATGGTACTGGCTCTCAGCAATACACACAAAAACACAGACCTCCTGGGGGCTGGAACGATTGCACAGTGGGTTGGACACTTGCCTTGCACGTGGCTGGCCAGGTTCAATCTCTAGCATCCCATATGGTCCCCCCCAAGCACCACCAGGAGAGATTCCTGGGTGCAGAGCCAGGAGTAACCAACCCCTGAGCATTGCCTGGTGTGGCCCCCCCAAAAAAAGGAAAAGAAAACCCATCCAGATTTCCAAGATGCTTCTGAATGAGCCTACAAAAAGGGTCAGGAGTACAGCCCTGGCATAGCGCTGAATCTGATCTGGGCCTTACTCCACTCCCCAATTAACAGCTCCCACATCCTCTCTGTTTTGTAGTTTTAGTTTATAGCTCCACATGGACTTGGTCATTTAATCTGCAGGACAACTAAATGTGTAAACTGAGGCTCGGGGGATTATCTAACTCACTAACAGCTGCCTTAAGGCTCAATGTCCACCCTTCTAAAATTCAAGTTCACAGCCACCTGCTCTAATTCCATCTCTGCACTGAGCAATGGTATGAACACCAGCTCACCACTATGGAGTAGAGACACTCGGGTGACGTTAGGTCCAGACACATAACCTAAAAGGCATTTATCTTTTATGGGATTAGTGACAAAATAACAAGAACACAGAATCTAATATTTAATTTAGAGTAGTTATTATCACTTCCATCCAATGCAATGTCCATACATACTGAAAAATATTTCATTACTTTTTGGATTTGGGGCATACCCAGCAATGCTTAGGGTTTCCCACTGACTCTGCTCAGGATGGGGCCTGGGGAACCATATGGGATGCCGGGTATCGAACGCAAGTTAGTCATGTGGAAAGCAAAAGTCATACTCATTATTGCTCCAGCTTTGAAAAATACTTAACTATAAAGCTAGTCTTCTGATTGTTTTCATTCAATATACCTAGAAGGGGAAAGTAATTTCTATCCTCAAAATTTATTTAAATATATTTAAAAATATAATGTTTGCTTTCAGTTATTCTGGTGAATTGCTAAAAAAAAAAAAAAAAAGAAAAAGTGGGTGAAAAAAGGAGCAGAGCTAAAGAGACAGATCTTTGGGAAAGGGGTCTGTCTTGTAGGCGCTGACCTGGGTTCAATCAAAGCAATGCCAAGAGTCTAGCTCAAACTGCAAAGAACTTCTTTCTCAGTGAGCCAAAACCAACCTTCCCAGAACTATTAACTACTATGCCTAGGTTCCCAGAAGGATCTCAAGAAATCCTGACTATTTAGTAACAGGCCTGTGGATATTTAAAATCAAGTATCTTTTAAAAACTACTCACATGGACCAAAGAGATATGTACCAGCAGATACGGCAATTGCCTTGCAAGTAGCTAACCCAAGTTCAATCCCTGGGGAGTGGTCTCTGAGCTCAGGGCCAGGAGTAAGCCCCAAGCACCACTGGATGTGGCTCAAAACAAGAACAACAAAAACATTTCACAATTAAACCCTGTCCAACCTCCAGTTCCACCTAAAACCATTCGGAATCTCCCAGATTCCAACACTTCCACATGGTTTCTAAATCCCTCCTTCTCTTGGTTCTTACTACTCTGGCTAGCCCATCTTAAAATGTGGTGGATAATCACAGCATTATCCAATCAAATACACAATCCAGGGGCGGGAGTGATAGCACAGCAGGTAGGTGCTTGCCTAGCATGCAGTCCACCGGGGTTCAATTCCGGGCATCCCGTATGGTGATTACTGAGGACAGAGCCAGGAGCAATCCCTAAGCACTGGCAGATGTGGCCCCAAAAGCAAAAATTAAAAAATATAATCCAAAGGGTCAGGGAAATGACTCAAAGAAAAGATCTGGAGCACATGCTTTACATGTGGGGAGCCCCAGGCACAGCCAGGAGTAACCCCCAGGCACCACAGAGTATGACCCCCTCTTAACTGAAAAGAAACACAGTCCAAGGTCATTTGAACTTTCTTCCCTACCCTACCTCTAGACGGGCTCTTTTACTCAGCATGCAGTCCAGCGACAAATTCCAGACCGTCTTTCAGATATACTGTCAAACTGAGTCTTTCCATTCCCTTCCTTGTGCAAATTTTAAATGCTGGGATTTAAAATTTATTACAGTCAAGTTCATCTTGTTGGTTTGAGTCTATCTTCCAATCTGTTAAAGATTGTTTTGAATCTTGATTCTGTCATGGATGTCATCTGTAAATCTAATAAGCACTCCCCTCCGTGTCATCGTATAAATCACTGACAGAAACGTTCGACTTGGCGCAGTGTGTTTAGGAATGCAATCGCCGGCTTTCCTAAGTGCGACCACTCGCAAGACAGAGCACAGGCATCATCTGTTAGTGAGCGCGAACAGGAAACTCATCTTTCCAAAGAAAAACAGTTTGGGGCAAAATTTCATTACAAGACATTTTCCTGTAATGCTCAAGTAATTATTACATCTTTCATCATTTATTCATGATGAATCAACTAATTTAATTCGACTGCACAAAATACAACTGCAGGACTAGAGAAAAGGTCAAAGAAAAGCGCCCATATTGCAAAGTTACTTTCAGTCATTATGGTTACCCAAGCAGATGGACATACATTAAAACAAACTATATTTCATAATAATTAATACTCAGTAATGGTGCTGAAATATAACTTCAAGACAAGCTCTTATTTTAATCCTTGCCCACAATCAAAAGAAGCATTTGGGGACAAGGACTAATCCCCAGCACCAAAAAATCATCCAACTGGCCAATCAAAAGATTTCAGTAAGAGTGACATTTTATATTTAAAAAAACAACGTAAGTGAAAATACCAGAATTGGAACTCCAAATGTTTTAACAGTCCACGGCAACAATGAAGATTATTCAGATCCTCAAGCAAATCTGCCAAAAGAAAAAAAGGTGACTTTTAATTTAGGTTTAAGACTACCCTTAAGAGCTGGGGAGATGGGACTGGAGCAGTAGTTCAGCAGGTAAGGCGTTTGCCTTGCACTCGGCCAACCCTTGCACGAGGCCAACCCAGGTTCGATTTCCCACCATTCCACATGGACCTCTGAGCACTGCCAAGAGTGATCCCTGAGTGCAGAGCCAGAAACAACCCCTGAGTCTGAGTACTGCCAGGTATAACCTGCCAGGTGTGACCCAAAAAGGAAAAAATAAATAAATAAAAGCTGGGGAGATGGCTCAAAGGGCTGGAGGAACACACTGCATGTGGGAGCCTTGGGTTAAATTCCCAGCACCCCATGGTCCCCCACCACCACCTCACCCTCCCCCATCCAAAAAATATATAGCCATTAAATTCAGTAGCTTTGAATCTCTACAACTATTCAACGAAACAACCACAATATACTCTCATACCACCACTTAAGGGCGGGATACTAGAATTAGGGACAGGATACAGAGGTGTAAACCAAGTGCCTAAAGAAGTCACTTTCACTCTTCCTTAAAGCCAGACGTATTACCTAAATATGAAGTCAGGTTTATAGAAAGTTGGGGTTAGTTCAGTGGTGGGAACCACACAGGCCCTGAATTTGATCACCAGCACTGCCCCATGTTCAATCCCAGCTCACTGTCATTGGAATCCCCAGAGTCAACAACAATGTACTCTCTGGTATGCCATACCAGGGGTACAGGAACAGCTGGTAGGGCGCTTGCCTTGCACATGGCTGAGCCAGGTTTGATCCCCAGCACTCCATGTGGTTCCCCAAGCCCTGCCACGAGTAACAGAGTCAGGAGTAAGCCCAGGGTACCACTAAGTGTGGCCAAGAAGAAAAAAGGAAAAAAGGAAAAACATCACTCCACCTCCAGTACACAAATGCTGCTGAGGGGTGCAACTCCCAATCACCACAGCAAAATAAAAAAGGGGAAATCAGATTTGTCAGTAAATATTTTTTAATAAAAGGGGGGGGCTGGAGGCATGGTACAGCAGATAGGGTGCTTGCCTTGCATCCAGTGGACCTTTCTGAATGCAGAGTCAGGAGTAACCCCTGATCATCACTGGTGTGGCCCAACCGCGCCCCCCCCACCCCCGCCACACACACACACAGACACACACACGTAAAAAGGAATCCCAACATGGAAAATCCCACTGTTGGGGAGGGAGCTAGATCCAATGGGCAGAGTACATGGCTTGCAAGCTCAAGACCCCGAGATCGATTCATTGCATGGCATACCAAAAACCCATAGCAGATGGGGCAGTGCGGCATGACTGGGCAGAGGGCCAAACCATCAGGACACACTACTAGGTCATATCGATAGGTTTGGACACCGAGCCCCCAAGCACTGCCAGGGCAACCCACCCCTCAACAACAACAACAACAACAAAATGCACCTAAGCAAACTAGATGCAAGTTTCCACAATTATAAGTTTGTGTTGACAGAAGTTACATTTTATAGAAGGTAAAGATTTTTACATCAAAGACAAAAACCAATTTAAGATGCAGAGAAGACCGTTCAAAGGGCTGGTGTGCATGCTCTATACGCAGGAATCCAGGTTCTACTCCATGCACCTCACACTGACAACCCCCAGCACCACCAGGTCTGGCATCAAAACAAACAGAAATAGGGGCTGGAGCCACAGCACAGCAGGTAGGGCGTTTGCCTTCGACCCGGCCGACCCAGATTCAATTCCCAGCATCCCATATGGTCCCCCAACCACCGCCAGGAGTAATTCCTGAGTGCAAAGCCAGCAGTGACCCGTGTGCATCACCGGGTGTGACTCAAAAAGCAAAAAAAAAAAAAAAAAAAAAAAACAGCAACAAAAAAATGCAGCACATTTTCAATCTTATACTCAACAATTACAAACTTTAGTCTCCCCTCCCCCAATCAAAGATACACGCCCCACTTCTCAATTTAATCTCAAAATTAGCTCTCATCTGACACCAACCAATCGAGTTAATTAGGCAAAAGCAGATGTAACTCAGCAGATCTTTGCTCTAAGCAGAATCTGTGTTACACACACACACACACACACACACACGGGTAGAGAAAAATCAGAAGTCTCTTATCAGTAGCCAATTCTCAACTAAATACATAAATATTATCCACTTTGTATATTATACACTGCAAATTTTTTAATCTTCAGCTGGTTTGCTTCTGACATCCCACTGGCCCCACTGTAAATTGGTACTGCTAAGAGAATAGATTGAAAACCAATTTAATTTTAATCTAAGCAGTATCTAACCCAAAACACAAATCTACAGGAAAAAAACTGCATAATTCATTCAAAAGCCAAACAGAAAAAAAGCTTCTCCACCCCCCCAATTCTGAATTACCCACACCACTTCTCTTTTTCCAGAGCTCTCGGTTTGTTTCATATGTAGATAGGACACTCCATTCAAGCACAAACCTAAAAATCATTCTCTTTTCAGTTTTTTCTAAAAACTTGAAAGTTGGACTAAAAGGCTATCAAAGTAGGAGTGAATCATTCCAAATTAATTCTGAGGACTCATGCTACATCAATGAAATTATTCTATTTTCTGAGGTTTTGAATCCTTTTATTTTTAACTACAAAACAGTATCAGTAAATTATATGGTTGTATCATACAGCCTCATAATAAAACAGTATTTACATCATTCATTACAAACTATTCTAAACAGATCTAGAGAAATGCTTAGTCCAACACAGAGCTTTGGTTTCATTAGTATTATATAAATATCAACACTATTCAGAAATATTCATGTTAGCATACAAGTCAGAATATCCCAGATCATAAATATTCTGTGAAAATGTCTCTGTTTTTACTAAAGCCTGTCTCAAAATCAGTGTCATAACATTCAAGTCATGAGATTATAGAAGAGCCAAAACAGAGATTAAAAAAATAGAGAGAAATTATTATTAACAGAGTTCACCCCTTTGTCATTCTGAGTTTTACTTGCTAATAGTTATTTTTAGTTCTCTCACTTTTATGTGCTCCTGGATTATTTCAAAGTCTATTATGTAACTAACGAGGATCCACAAAATTTAACAATCTTCTGAAATAGAACAGATCGTGCTGAGGTGAAGAAACTTCGTCTTCTATAATCACCAAGTTCTGAGCACTGTACCTCTAAACAGCATTCTGAATGATCAAATATCTGCTATCTAACAATATCCATCATCCATTACAGCGACACTTGGTAGCTTTCAAATCCAACAAGTTTCAATTTTCTTCGCCCAAAATCAATGTTAAAAACCCAAACCTTGTGAACTGCAAGGTGAGGTCATACGCGCGGTCACATAAGCAGTGACTAGCTCAGTGTGTGGCCCTAAACTAGGTGCTCTGATAGGCCTAGAATAGGTGCAGCCACTAAGAACAGAAGTGGTGGAGGAAATGGCTCTGAGGGCTGAAGACAAGCTTTGGATCCAGGCGTCCCAGGCTGCTCCCTGGGACTGCCAGAACACTGTGCCAGACAGCCCCCAAAATGACACCAGTTCAAGGGGTAGAGCACAGCTAATATGGGTTAAGACCTTGAGTTTAATGCCCAGCACAGTTTCCCCAACAGTGCCACCAGCAGTGGCCCTTATATAATAATAATAATAATAATAATAATAATAAAAAAGTAATGACACACTCTTGGCTGTTCTTCAAAAATTTAAAGACTAAATTACCATGTGACCCTGAAATTCCATTTCTAGAAATATACTCCGAGGTACTGAAGAACTGAAAATAGGTAGTTCATATACACACACTGGAGAGATAGCACAGTGGGTAGGGCATCTGGCTTGCACGTGGCCGACCCAGGTTTGATTCCTCCGCCCCTCTCGGAGAGCCCAGCAAGAGTATCCCGCCCACACGGCAGAGCCTGGCAAGCTTCCAGAGGTATATTCGATATGCCAAAAACAGTAACAAGTCTCACAATGGAGATGTTACTGGCGCCCGCTCAAGCAAATCGATGAACAACGAGAGGACAGTGCTACAGTGCTATACACACACACACACACACACACACACACAGAGCAGTGGAAATAGCCCAATATCCACCAGCAGATGTGGTATAGGCATGAACTGTGCACTGGAATACAATGTTACAAAAGATGGATATGTACTCAGTAAAGCCAGTAGCAGAAGGTCACCCTGGGGGCTGGAAGGGCCAAAGAGACTGGGGTTTAGGCACTCACCTGGCACATGGGCTGAGCAGACTCTATCCCAGAACCTAGATAGTCAGTCCCCCAGGTACCTACGCGGGGGGTCATTTCCATGCACAAAACCAGGCGCAATCCCTGAGCACCACCAGAAGCAACCTCTGAGCACAGAGCCATACATAAGCCCTCGGCACCTCCGGTTGTGGCCCAAACCCAAACAAACCAAAAGAAAAGCAAAATGATCACCGATAATCTGTATAATCCAATCATTAAACCCAGAGAATGGATAAAATCATAAGCATGATAAAGACTAGTGGGGGGAGTGAACAAAAAAGAGAAAAGAAAGGAAAATTGTTTGATGGGTTTATTTTTGGATTAATGAAAATGCTTTGGGGTTCATGAAACCAAAAAGGTGGAGGTCACACAATATTGTAAATGTACTAAATAAACATCACCAAACTGCAACCTTTTTTTTTGGTTTTGGGGCAACATCTAGCAATGCTTAGGGTTTACCCCTGGCTCTGCACTCAGGGATCACTCGGGGGACCGTATGGGGTGCCAGGGATCAAACCCGGGACAGCCGCATGGAAGGCAAATGCCCTACCCACTGTATTATCACTTAGGCCCCTAAATCTTTATTTATTTACTTCTTTTGGGTTTGGGGCCATGCTCAGCCAGGGTTTACTCCTGGCTCTGCACACAAGCGCACTCCTGGTGGTGCTTAGGGGACAGATCATATGGGGTACCAGAAGCTGAACTTGGGTTGGACAAGTGAAAGGCAAGAGTCCTACCTGCTGTACTATGGTTCTACAGTCACTTT